TCTTTCCCTTTTGTCATCTTTGAAGCTCGATTTTGTAATATCTCTGTAATATCGCCCTCGACGAGATTCTATATTGGATATTTGAATCTATTATATCTATATACAGAGAGTATCTCAGGCGATTTCCGCTGCGAATGCTTCGGCGAGAGTTTGTCGGTCGATTTGTCTTTAAAGCAAAAGTTCGATCGGTAGTTGTATTCTCCCAGGCAACATTCTATTATCGAAAGTTAACTGCTCGAACATTTATTCAATGAAATATTTTACTACTTGGCTTTTTCCTTCAACAGAGTATGAACGCTCGATCTTTTCGTTATATCTTCTTGCCTTAATTTTCTAAATTCTACGTTTGGTGTTTCGACATTTTTGTTAAAGGGAAATCGACCACGTGTTAGTGAAAAGTCCAGAAATCGAAAGGAAAGAGATACCCTTGTATATACATATATAATCTACCTACTTAGTCGCAAAAATCTACATCGGCCCATTTTTTTTTTCTTTCTCTCTACTTTTACCGTGAGAAAATTGCAAGAAAGTGTTGGAATCGATAAGAAGCCGTCGCGTTCTCTTAATCATCTATGTATGTATATCTCAAAACAACGATTATATATAGCCTACCTTTTTCTCTCCCCCTCAGCTAACAGATAAACATTTTCAACAGCTAAGCGATAGCCATTAGAAAACGACACTTTTTCGCACTTTTCCTATATATAAAGACGATGGTACGCACGTAGACCTTTGTGACGAAGTCTGCGCAATATATATGTTTACGCAATTATTGTAATTGAATGTATGTCAATGTGTGCGCGTGTGTGTGTCCATGTGCTGGAGATACGTGTTCGTATTTAATATATATATATATATTTTATTCTATTAATTGTGTGGTATTCTCTCCTATTTATTACAGGATAATGCTACGTGTGGCGTAATCGATCGACCAATCTGATAACAAGTGATTTAGAAAGTAGCGGCGAATATGTGATAAAATTCTTTGACTTGCGTCTTGATGTTTAAATCGAGAGACATGCCCGCAAAAATTCACTCTTCCGACTAATTATTCTTCTACTAATAATAATAGGTACGTACATGTGTCTGTGTGTATACATTTTATATTGTATATATATATCGGGATATATCTGAATATAGAAAATCTTATATACAATTTACATTTAGGAGTTCTCTCTCAGGCGGATTATTAACGATCATTATTAAACACGTTACACGCTACGTTTTTTTTTTTGTTTTTTTTTTTGTTTTTTTTTTTTTTTAAATACGTCATATATTTAATAAACAGTGTCCTTGTAAAAAAAGGCGCCGAGAGATTGGCGCGAGGGATTGCCGTTCCTTTCTGTCGTCGGGGAAAATCCGGGAAGAGGTAGCGCGAACTCTGACCCCTTTCCGCAAAATTATACAACTTTGGCAATAACACGCCTGTCGCGAATACGGCAAATGCTAAACGCGTCGCGATAATAAACGGGTAACGGTGAATTGGAGATGAGAAATTGACGCGACCGTTTCGCATACGTCAGCTCGCTCGAATGCGTCAGAACGTGCGGAACCGGAGACCGGGCGTTTACCGTATTCGATTTATTTACGCGCGGAAACTTACTGGAATATCGTACGACGATAACGGCGATAATTACCTAGACGAAGCGAAGTTATAAGCACGCCTAATAATCGTAGTAGCGATATATATAATATACACAACTATATACGTATAAGTGGTATACAACGTATACGAACGATCTCGTTTCAGCGCGTTTCGTAGTAATATCAACGAGATATGATGTACTTCGCCGTTTCGTTAATTACACGATCGACAGAAGGGAAGGGATTCGTTCCCTTAAAGTTGTCGTTCCGCCGGAAATACAAGCCTAATTCCCTGGAATGAGCCGAGAAGCTGGGGGTAGAGGAGGTCGGGGATGAAAATTAGGTGAATCAAAACGAATCGCGCGACAGGAATCCATTTCCGCGAGATTGAATACCTTCGAGTTATCTAAAGCCAATCCGTGATTCTTCGCGGAGAGGAATTCGTAATATCGCGGAATAAATTCCCATCTCTCAATTCGTTTTCCTCCTCGCGGATGGGACACGGAGCGCCGCGAGATGAATCGTCGGATGATTTTACACATAATTCGTTGGATAATCCGAGTCCTTGTTTTAGATATGTAAAAAAAGAAAACGAAGCATCGAATCCGCGACTAGAAATGGCCAACGATAATTCGATAATTAAAGTCTCTATCATAAACTTTTAAAATAATTTTTATATAAATCAATAACTTTTAAAATAAGTAGAATAAACAGTTTATTATCATTTAAAAATTATTCACAAAGTATCTTTTCCGGAAATAAATTGTTCGATATCAATTTGAATTTTCATCATTCGCTATTATCGCAAATCATATTCTTACATAAGTCAGGAATGTATGTATAAGTTATGAACTGCATATATTATCTTGACTTTTATCTCTAACGATACTCATTCAATACTTATGACGATATCCATCGTAATACCTTCAATAGCCATTTCTAGCCTTGGCTAGCCTCGGCTTGCCTCGATCCATCGATGATCTGTAATTGATGGCATTGATGTTGCTAACAGCTGACGCTCCGACCTGGTTGGGAATGTATTGTCGACTTATTCAAAGGAGGATTTCCAATTTCGAATCAGATTCGCCGATAGCTACATTTCGCGGATATCATTAGCTATCTGTCTCGCCACAATCTTTCACGACCGTATTTATATATAAATATATAGAGCGATTAGACAATAGATAAAATAAGTAGAGCAACGATAAGGAATTAAATAGAATTTTATTTCAAAGTGTTAAATGTAGAGTATATAAAAATTTTAATAAAAATAATTAATTATAAAATAAATAAAATAATACTGTCGTATAATATAAAATAAAAAGAAAAATGTGAAAACAGCTCTTAGAGAGAGATAAAAAATTATTTAAAGAAACGTAGTAATAGATACGATTTTATAAAATCTGCATTTTTTCAAACCTGAAAATCAAATTCCGATTTGATCGCAATATATTATTCCGAGGACGCAAACATATATGAATGTACCGCGGTTCGATTTTAGATTCATTGTATGCACATCACTCGATATACCCTCGAGACACCACTCGAGTATCGACTATAAATACGGCCCTTCAAACGTGGAACTAGTAGTCGAGACGCGTTCAAGTGCAGGCGGCGGATCATCATCGTCATTATCAACATCATCGTTAGCTTCGGCGCGACGTGTATTTAAACATCGATCGCATCGATATCGATGAGGACGTCGCGACGGGATTGAGGAACATTGAGGAGGAAGAAGCACTCTCCGGTCTATCTTGATATATCCATAAAACGGATAAGGATTGATAAGGATAGTCGCGACACGAAGGAAATTATGGACACATTCCGACGATCTACGCTGCGAAAGGGCGGAGAGCGGGAGGGGGAGACGGATTCGTGGAAACGTGTATAATTACTCGCTAATTATCTACGTTTGTTAGAAATTTTCCGTAGGAATGTCTAAAAATGTTTCGGATGCGATCTACCCATAAAAAAAAAAAACATTAAAAACGTTGCGTCGATATGGAAAACGTGTAACTCGTATAATCGCATGTACAATACAGTTACAATCTCGTATAATTTCTCTTGCGATGCGTTCGTCAACAGATCTGTGCCTACGCGTGTTATGTATATATATATATATATGTGTGTGTGTGTGTGAATCTGCACGCATAATGAAATACGTTAACACAACTTGGATCTGCGTGTGTGTAGTATTGTGTGTGTCTGTCTGTTGTTTTATAATTCTAATTAGCATAGTTATTACAAAATTCTCTTACAACTATTCAACAAAAACCAATCTCGTAACAACTCTTATCTACTTGTTGTCATCATTTGCATACACACTTCTCTCTCTCATTCGATTTCGCACTCTCTCTCTCTCTCTTGTCATCTTCGCGAAAAAAAAGGGTTCTGACGCGCGCGCATTACACCAATCCCCCTAATCGTCATGCGGTAGTCTCGGATTGCAGAGCATTGCGGAATTTTCATGGAAGGGCATCGTCACGTCTACTATTATCGATTTAGTACATCGTTAAATTGAGACAGTCTACGGACAAGGGCCATGTGTAGCGTGGCCTTTCGAATAAAACTCTTTTTATAAAATTTTCATTCCGCGCAAGTTACTATTTTTTTTCAGCATATTTCAATAGGAATCCATATATTATTCGGTAATAATTTATTCCTACAACAATCTCTTCAATGTATTTTACTGAATATTTCAACATCAATATTATTCTGAATTTACGTTTCACTAACGCGTTCGCTCCCAGTTCAATATATTTTATCGAATCCATATATTTTCAAATTCAGTATAGTTTATTGAATTGCTATATATATGTAAATAATGGATTAAATAAATGAGAGTTAATTAAATATAGAGTCGCCCTCTTTGGCATAGACCGTCTCAGATAGCGAGCGACTTGTCGGAGAAAATTCGAGTGCTAAAATCGTGCGAACAAATTATATATTCGTTGATCTTCCACAACAATTCGTTGCTTATCCGTATGCAAAAGGAACGGCACTTGTAAAAATTGAAAAGAGAGCGACAATTCCGCGAGCGATCATTTCTGATAATCGACTATATCGTTAAAGCAAGCTCGAGATTAGCCTCGCATGCATTTTTCAC